GCTCAGCCACACTGAATATTGCAAGTGTTTTTTTGTGTAAATCACGTACGTCCAACGGGTATGACCTGTAACAGTCGGTAAACAATGATCACAATTTAGAAAAAAGTCCCTTTCTACCCATCATCATCCACTGTTGCAGGGAATAGGACATACTCAAAGTACGGATATCATGGATGATGAGGGAGTCCCAGATGTTCAACAAGAAAACTCTCTCATCCAATGGATAGTGTAGAAATATAAACGGTGTACCCATTGGCCCAGAGCTGTGAGTGAAATTGATCCGCCATCCTGTCATCCTTACGAAGCCTCCGACATGCAGACATGTCAAGACGAACAAAACTCACTTAAACACAGCAATCTTGCTTCAAGTATGTTCAAAGGTGATATATATTATATATATACTGTATATATGTATTCTGGATCGTTTTAAAACACCTTTGACCTTCCAACGCTGTTTCTTTTCTGCACCACGAAAGGCTGACGTCCCGCCAGGCCCCGGCAGACACCTTCGCCCGCTGGCCTGCTGGAATCCCAGCACCGCCCACGGAGGCGGAGAGCGGAAAACCGGCGGGGACTGACATTGGAGTTATGTAAACTATAATTGATGTGAAAGACACATATGATAAAATCCCGGTCTGGTATTTATCTTTAAATTAGATACAATCTAATTTATAGTAAGAACTATATATATATATATAGGCCCGGTCCGGTATTTATATATCTTTACATTAGATAAAATCTAATATATAGTAATAACTATATATATAGGCCCGGTCCAGTATTTATATATCTTTACATTAGATAAAATCTAATATATAGTAATAATTATATATATAGGCCCGGTCCAGTATTTATCTTTAAATCAAAAAAATCTAATATATAGTAATTACTATATATAGGCCCTAGGCTTCCAACCACCATAGAGTAAATCCTGACAACAGTCCGCCGCGGGGGTCAATGGAGAACATGTTTAAGACCTTCAGGTTCACTCCCTGGAACTAACATAGAAGTGGATGGCATGACCCCGAAAGGAACATCCCTTTTGGGGGACCCTGGTACAACATGGAGGCTGCCAACATGTTGGATCTTCCAACTATGCAAGATTTCTGCTGAACTTGGCAGGATTTCTGCCGAACTTGGCCGGATTTTCTGCTCTTGGCTGGTTTTATAGATGAACCAGGCGGAGATTTTGCATAGTTGGAAGATCCAGGGATATAGGGTTTCACAATCAATTGGCATTCATTGACATCTCCAGTGTGAGGTTTGGGGAGCCCGTTTCAGCCCGTTTCCATCAGTTTATTCCGTGGGCCAGATGCAAATTTCGAATGTGATTCCCTATATACCCATACTTGATCCTATTGGTGGTTGGTCGACGTGGGGTTATCCCCCTCTATCAAAGAAACGAGTGAAAACATAGCCATATAGATCCATGACCCGAAGCGGTGCCCCCAAGGGTTGGCTTCGGATTTGTCGTTTTCCAAGGTCCATCGGGGTGGGGACGCGTTCGCGGAGGTATTCGTTGATATTCGTTGGTTGGATTCTTTTCCAGCCCTGAATGACCTGACACTGGATGCCAATCTCCCGGGTGCAAGGCTTCAGGTGTTGAGGTTTTCTTGGTTGGATCAGTGCCCGACTTCGACACTCGCGGCTGAAGCTTCAGATCTTTGGGATGTACCGGAACCTTCCCTCTGGGACAGCGCACTCGCCAGGCCAGAAACCTTTCGTGGTCCATGCACCGCACTCGCCAGGCGCCTGCCGTGGAACTGAAGGAGAAGGCTGTCACCCCGGTGCCGGACAAGGAGCCGGTGGTGATGCCTCCCGTGGTGCCCTGGAAGGCAGGAAGGCATAGCGCCGAAGGCTGTTAGGCTGGTACGATGGGCGGCGTTGGTTGGACCCTCCCCAAAAAGCCAAAGTTCCTCTCAAAGTTGTCATGTCAGATGGGTTCTAGGACGACTTTTAGTAAAGGATCTTGAGGAAGAATCATCATCCTCGTTACATCCAGTGGAGATTACATCCGCTGCAATCATGGAAATGGCATGACCTCCACGATTGATCTTGATGAAATGGAGGGCCGCAAAAGGTTCCAACGTTCCTCGTCAGATGATCCTCATCCCACGTTCCTGCTTGACGGAACTGGACCCTCCGTTCAGATTCCATGGGGCGGACCCGGAGCAGGTTTGGGGTCTCCAATCCCTGGCCGGCTCTTTGTTTGGAACATCTGCATGGTTGAATCGAAGCGATTGGTTCCCGTTTCACGCGAACCACAAGGGTTTAGGGTTGTGTGTGGGCGGGTCGAAGAAAGACAAGTACCGGAAAACATCGGAAAACTGTTTGAGACTGGCACCTGTTACTACGTTCGCTTCTTGTTACTACTAGTAAGGCACTTGTTACTACTAGCGATGCACCTGTTACTACTGTCATTTTGTGATGCTTCATGATTTGTGAAGTCAGCTTTGAGCGGTTTTTGCCTTCTCAGGCGTGAGAGTGGGCATAGGCAAGCACGGCTGGTTGAGAGACAGACCTTATGGGGACCGTGTAGTGGTACATATATGGGGATAGCCTGTGGGGCTGCTCAACCTCTCTATAGGTAGAATCTAGCCTTGTGCTCCTCCGAGGCACGAATACCCGAGCCTCGCGCGCCTGTACTGCAACGCGCTTTCAGCCGACCACTCAGATGCGAGGGAGCTTGGCGGCGGGAGCTTGTTCACAAATGTTTGCAACTTCATGCTGTGAACAGATGTCTGGGGGTTGTCAGCATCGTCAACACCTGTGAAGCCTGATTGTTGTCAGCACCGCGGATTTCAGGAGGTTCTTGGAGGGAACACGCATATAGGTTCTTGGGTCTCGAAAAACCACCCGAACTCCGTGCCGGATGATCTTTATGCCGAAAAATGGTTCGTTGAGCTACACAAGGTGCCTTGAACTCGTTTCCAGGAACTCCTGCAGTCCCCAAGTGTTTGGGAGCGAAGCAGAACCAAAAAAACAAAAAGGTGGAGAACATAACTCTTTTCATCTCTTGTCTACCACCCACGCGTGGTCTCTCTTTTTCCGCGTGGTCACGGCCGAGAGGAGCCGCTGGGTTCCTGCGCCAGGTGTGAACAGCGCCATCTTCCGCATCCACTGGACGGTGGACGCCAAGGTCCTCAAATCCTCGGCCGCTCGGAAAGGGAAGTGAAGGACAGAGATGGAAAGGACTTCTCTTTTTCAAACTGGAGAAGAATCTGGGGATGTGATGGGAGGTCTTACAAAAGACAGCGCAAAGAGGAGTCTCAGGATATCTTCAGGTTTCTATATGATGTTCCATGCTTTTTTACGATGTACGGTCAGAGTTGGCAAGTTTGGGCACACCCGGGCACCCCTTTAAGGACGATGCAAAAGTCGCATCGAGTGGAAGAAGGTTCGATGCGAATCGCTACTCCCGTGGTGATCGTAGATGATCAGCCTGAAAACCCCTGCATGGGTAGTAGATGAGAATCGTCTACTACTTCGGGTCTGTTTTCACGGTCCATGTAATAGGGTTCAAGTATGTTCAAGTTCACACAGACGGATGCTAATATTTTTAAGAGGGAGATCCCTGGCTTTTGGATGGTTTCGGATGGTTTTGGTCCATTCTCCTTCTTTCTGAAGGTCTCCCTACTATTTTATACACCCAGATGGACCACATCACGGCAAGGCTTCGTCGTCGCCCCCCCTCGGGTTTTCTGGGCTCTGCATCGGAGCGCGCCCCGGGGCGAACAGTTGAAGGACCCCGCGGGGGCGAACGGTCTGGGGATGGCGGTCTGTTGCTACCCCTGTTTGTTCGAGACCGGGGCACCTGTAAAACCACACTCGTTGTTTGCGTGTAGAAGTTCATAGAAGTTCGTCTTCGGAAGGCGTTTAGATTTGGACATACTTGCGGTTTGCATGATAAAGGTTGCAAGAGATGCGCGAGGGTCTTAATTGTGATGTTCCTAATTAAGAGACTTCTGCTTGAAATGGACGAATTACTGTATATACATTCATAGATGAATTTGGAAGTGTAGGATAAAGCAGATTGGAAAGGACTAGTATGATATATAATGTCTTATCTGAGGATTTGCTGGCCCAACTCTTGTTTCGGGTGCTATCCTTTTCGCACCAACCACCAAGAACACATAACTGCTGAACACCCTAACCAACCGGTCGGTGCCCGCGCGAAAGATCGCGAAAGTGCAAGAGAAACCCGAGGATCGGGAGAAGGTGTCGCCACCTTTCGAGGTGTCTATGGGGGCAAGTGCTGGCATGTTTTTGCCTGTGCTGCTTAATTGGTTGGTCGTGACACTTCATGGATGGGATGGACAATGATGGACATGTAGATGACCCGGCTCAGATATAGTTTCTCAGATATGGTTTCGCGAAAGATTTACGAAAGATATTTTTTTCCCCCGCGAAGAATGGAATTGAAAGACACCACCCGATGCTGCCGCATTCTCGGGGCTCGATTCTCGGGGCTCGGTCGTTGGTGAAGACCGCATGGGTGTGTAGCTGACGGAGACCGCCCCCTGTGGAGAAACCCTGGGGGAGGGAAGTCGGCCTACCGGGGCGAGGGGTGTCACCCCAACACAGAGACTATACCAGCACCCTCCTGGCCAGGTGCTTCCTGGTGACAACAGGTGCCCAGAAACCACCTGTTAAGGTCTCCAAACAGCCTGGCCAGGAGGGTCCTGGTATGTGGTGGGTTGGGTGGAACCCGGATAGCGCTACAGGACTGGTCGGGCGAACATGGACTGGTTGGAGCCCATGACGACCGCCCAGTCGGGTGTGGATTGAACGGGGGTCAATGTCTGTCACCTGAAGCTTCCAGCTAGGCTATGCACCGTAAAACGGCCTTTTCATCAGTGAAAGCATTCATAAGGCGGAACTTCTGCATGCTTACAAGATCCAGTAGTGTTGAAGCCCATCCTGCTTGGCTGCTTGGCTGGTGTGATCCTTCCCATTTCCAGCTCGAAAAAACGGGCGATCCCGGGCGGATGCCACGGCCGATGCCTCTGCCAAAGGGGGAGGCCATGGGTGGTTTGGACGAGGCCGTGCAGCAATTGGTGGAAGTGCAAAAGCAACAGACGCTTGGAGTGATGGTCAACCAAACGATCCGAAACGCCTGAATACTACTGAAGGAATCCTACACGACAGGGAAAAGCTCTGGAAAACTATGGAAAACGCGGGTTTTTTCGGTTCCAGTTGCTGCTTGCCGTTGCAGCGTGATGATCATGTGAAAGTGGGCTTCAGGATGCTTCAGTTCCTTTTTTTTCCGGTCTCGAAACGAGCGTAGATGCTTCACTGGGCGCGTGAGGAACCACGCGAGGTTTGGCACTCTTCCGGGCTCGGAATGGCTCGACTGGGCGACCTTTTGAAGGCCTCAACGTTTCTCAAATTTTTGGAAGACCGGAGACAGGGAATTCTGCTCAAGATGTGTTCAGTTCTCGAAACGGGATGAGACACATCACATGCAAATATATATCAACAGATTCAACATGTTGTTTTTAGCTTGAAGAACACCATCGACCACCTCAAAGTTGATAGATCAACCACCTGCAAACTGAGCCCAACCGAACCAACCAGAAGAAACAGTTGTGGTTGTAATTCCAACATGGCACCATCTGGAGATCCTCTAGAGCCTCTACATACCTAAGTGCCTGGGAAAACCCATCCATCCATGTTGGGACCACAACTGGGAGTTCCACTCTCCGGCCTAGAACTGGGACTCCACTCTCCAGCACGTAGGGGGGGAGATATCCCGTTTGGGCTTCAGTCGTACAATGTCGTACATCCGTTTTGAGCATGGTTAAGTTATGGTGGGTGCCAGGGGGGTCTAACCACTTTCTGAGGATATGCGCCAGGAGGTGCAGGGTATATCACCCCATAATGGATCCACAAGACCCTCAAAGAGGCTGCCCTGATGCGTTCGATTCGGATCTACTCGGGTTCCGGGTCACGATCCGTGGCAGTGGCACCACTGGCCACCTTGCGGCTCCACCTGGTCACCTGGCCTGTGGTGATTTGGACGGGGAAATCAGGGGGAATTCCCGAAAAAACACCAGGGCCACTTGGCGAGCGGTGGCGTGGTGGGACTGAGGAAAGCTTCCTACGAGAGTCTCGAGCGACTGAGTTTGCAGCATCTTGATGTTGCAGAAATTGGACTCTGATTCTGATCAACTGTGACCGGCTCACTTGTGTCGGTCTCGAGCTATGCTGAAGTATGGATTATTTTTTGGGGTAAAAGAACAGTAGGATGAGTCGGACAAAAGCTTGGAGCAAAATGTGAGCAGCTAGCCCTACATGCTATTGATCTGATGCAATTCTCTTTGTGGCATTGAAGCCAAACAAATCTGAGGCTTTAGGATCCAAGGTCTTTAGCCTGGGCCCAACTGCCTCCAGGCACCGTGAATGGCAAAGCACTGTGGAAGAACTACTTCAGCGTGTGAATCACAGCGTGGACCAGGCGGAGCGCAGCCGTGATCACTTCGCAGGTGCGGACCTGGGGATGCCAGGTGGGCGATCCACGACGTTGTTTTTCTTGATCTTTTGGGGTATACCCAGACACTCATTCTTCATATGATGGAAACATGGATGGAATTGCAGACGAATCACTCTCCTAAGAGCTCGTGCTTCCTGTTGGGATACCCCCGCAACATCGCCCGGACTCGGTGACCCGACAGGGGTCCGGACTCGGTGACGGCCATTGAAATATCGGTGAAGGGCCCGGAGTCTGACCCAGTCGCGACGAATGGGACTGCCAGTCCGGACTGCCTTCAAAACGGCCAGGGGTGGGCCATGAGGGGTCTTTCTGGGGCGGCAGTCCGATGGCAGTGAGGTTTGATCGCGTCTGGGTTACTGTAGGGTGGATCTCTCTTCGGTCGAGACTGTGACACCTTCGACGCCCGGGACACCGACGAGGCGGATCTGAGGGATCTGAGCGAAGACAGATCTGATTGACAAGGGTCGGCAGGTGAAGCGTGAACCAACGGTGAAGCCCAAGTTTGATCTGTCTGACTGAACAGAAATCGTCTGCATCTTTCATCGTCTACGAGGATTAGCTTGGTCTGTTAAGGATGAAATATACCCGACACGAGCCAAGGAGCCCTCCTAGCCTGGTCACCACCGGCCCTGTGGGTCCGAAGGTCCCGGAGGCGCTTGTTGAAAACAGGTCCGGAGGTCCGAAGGTCCAACAGGAGACTGGAGTCACAGAGCTCGGGGTGGTGTGGCTCGTCCCATCCAGGGGCCGTGGATGTGACGATCGGGCGTTCGGCACCCCGTGGGCCACGTGACTGCTGGCTGTGCGTCAAGACCAGTGCGGACCATCGTGAGCATCGTGACATATCGTGCACCACACACTGGTGTCGACTTGTTTCATCTCGATGCAAGGTTCAGACCCGTTGGCTCTGAAGAGACACCGACTCGACGTTCAGACAGACCACGGGGGGTACAACGACACTTTTAGAGATGTGACCTCCGCTTACGAAGCGCTTTCCGCCGAAGTCCGTTCGACCAGTCCAACAGCTCGCGGTTCGGAACCTGGTGTGGTAGTGTAAAATCCTGCTCGTAAAGCAGCTCGGTGGTTCGGGATTCAAACCATTAGACAAGTGGTGGCCGGAAGCCTAGGGTTTGGTGTTTCGGCCAAACTCCATCCTCTTAATAGTCAAGCGTCTGGTGAGGGTCAAGAGGCTTCCATGGCTGCGAACTTGTTCCGCGAATCGCCATCGCGGGCCGCTGGTGCCGCAACTTGTGCCTCTGGTTCCTCTTGCTACTCCTGTTCAGGAGAAGCACAAGGAGTTGAACAAGAATTCTCTCGCGAGATCCTTGTCAAACGTTCGAAGCTGCAACGCGACTGTAGCCTTTTGTTCACTTCTTCTGCAATGGCGTGAAGCGAGCAGATGGATGAAGTGGATGGAAAAAAAGAGAGGTACATCAGGCAGATGGGATCTGGATGTGGCTTCCAAAACTTGACCCAGGTATTTGCAGGTCTTACACTTCCTAAAACAATCATGGAAGCGAACAAAGCACCTGTTTCTGTTTGGTATTCGGATTTCATGGTCATCCAAAAGACCATTCCGTCCACTTCCATGATGATTTCAGGGAGTGTACCTCTTCAATTCTTTAACATCTTCTCTGCGAATGGACTCCACGAAAACGTGCTGATTGAAGATGGAAGAAACTAGGCCACTGAAGCTCCCCGGGCTCGGCCCACTTTTGCCGTTCAGAGAACACCCGGGCTCGGTGTGGAAAATGTTGACATCCTGTCGCCTCCTGGTCGGGAAGGAAGCCAGTGAAGACCACGCCCCGTACACTGCCTTGTGGGATGAAACTGATCCGTACACTAAGAGGCTATAGCAATGAAACTGATCCAATGGTGCTCTCCATGCTGTGGTGCTGGCCCCTCTCAGTGACGCTTCCTTTCTCCTCGCTCCTAGGATCGAGGGAAATAACTTGAAGATGCTGAACGAGGAGGAGAAGAATTTGCAGAGAAGGCCATCAATCTTCAACGAAAGGAGATGGGTCGGGAAACCGATGGGTCCTGGAAGGGCCATCCACCGGCGATGCGCGTGCGCTTGCGCAAGAACCTTGAGTGAAGGTCTTGTAATCATGGTCAACAGCCCAGTCTCAGGGCAGCTCTAGTAATCATGGTAGTATGGCTATAGGGTGTGTCCCAGAAAACCCATCAAAAAGCACAGAACTCGGTCAAGGAGGATCACGATTTTTGGAGCAAGGCCTACCACCCTAATCACCATCATGGTAATGGGATATCCATGGATATACCAGGACCCTCCTGTCGGGGTGTCAATTTATAGCCCCTTAGCCGTTAAAGGGTGTCCATTAACCACCCCTTGAAGGCCCTGGTACCATATATATATATATATATATACCGAGATATACCAAACGTATGTGGCCCTTCGTGTTCTTTTTTTCTCATGACATCCACCGAATCCATTGAGTGTGACGCAAGAGTCTTCCGCTGGTTGGATCGTTGAGGCATGATCACATGCGTTGGGCGGGTCAGAAGTTCTCCTTCCTTCAACGTACGAAAGGAAGGCGCCGTCTTTACGCGCCGCACTCGCGTCCGCGCAAAGTCCTCCAGGACTTCAGCCACCTTCAACATCAAGCCCCTGAAGAAGTTGGTCTCGGAAGCCTTAAAGGCGGGGTTCCGGGGCTTCCAAAAAGGAATCGTTTTGGCAGTGGGGCGCCCAGTGGGCTGTGTGCCACGCCCACCACCTTCACTTGGGTCTCGTCCCATTAGGTTCGACCCAAAGCCTCTTGACCGTTGGATGCTTTGACAGGGGGACGACTGGTGGGGCTCCACCTGAAGTCATGAGTGACATCCTCTAGATTTGATGTCTGAAAGACGGGAGCAACTCCAGCTCCTGTGAGGTGAAGAATTGGGGAGGTGCTCTGCAACAGTCAAAGACAATCGAAAACACTCTCTGAGCAGTCCCTTCAAACATCTAAAGCATCTTCATCAGAGATCTCAGGTCGGGTGTGATGAGAAAGAGATTTCTCACAGACCCTCCAGCTGATCTTTTTGCTTAGGCATTGACCTAAGTTGATCTCCTTTTGCCAGTGCCTCACTACAACATGACCGACGCAGGAGGCGAGCCGCAGTCGTGCCAGCGGTCGTCCGCCAGGGCCTCAGTGAACCGAGGAACAGCGGTGTCGCGCTAACACCGCCGCATCCGATGGGTTCAAGACAAAACTACCCAAGGGTTCCCAAATCCAATTCTACGTTGGTAGAATGTTGCTGCACATTGATGACCGATGTGAGGTTGCGAGGACTGCGGAAGGTTGCTGAGCACATTGTGGCTGCCCATTGGTTTGAGTATGTCACTGGTCTCATCATCTTTGCCAACCTAATCACCGTGGGGATTGAGCTGGAGATGACTTTGACCGTGCCGGAGTTCCAGCAGCTTGGAGAGTTATGTGACATTGTGGCATCCGTCCCCTGGTGACATTTTCGTTGCTCATGTGTTTCTTCTGTGTGTGAGGAAAGCAGTTTGGCCACAAGTCGCAGAGCGCATCTTTCTCTTCATCTACTTTGTTGAGCTGGTTCTGAGCTCCTGAGCTGCAGCTTTTTGTTGTTGTGGATGTTGTGTTGTGTTCTAACGGTCCGCACCTGGTCCGCTCATAGTGGCCCGCCTGTCGGTCCGTGTTGCACGGGATTGAACCCAGGTTTGACGCATGAGGGATGTGTCATAGCTAGACCATACCGGCCCTCTCGGTGTTGTGGATAATGCTACGAAGGGGCCGTACCCTGTACTGGACCTTCAAAACCCGGTATGGTGTTGACGGACCGGTTGGCCCGTTTGGAGCGTCTGGGTGAGGTCAGTGGTGCCCGAAAGATTCGGGACGTTTTCAGGTGCTGGCGCTTCTTCTTTTGATCAGTTAGATGGTGCGAACATGCGTGAACCCAAAACTTGTCACTTTGTTGAGTTCGTCAGTCCATGTTGGACACCTTTCCTTCGCTTTTCGCTCCCCAGTCTCATCCTTCAGCATGGAACTTCCTTCGCATGAGGAAGTTTTGCTGGTGGCATGCAGAACTTGAAGGAGCGATGGCCTTGCGGATCGATCGGTCGGTCAGATGTGGCGCCTTCAGAGAGCCCCTTCAAGAGCTCTTCTACCCAGATGTGAAGCCTGGACCCTCCGTTCACTTGGGGGCCGGACCCGGTTTTCCTCGGTGTCGTTCGTCCGAGGTTTTGAGGGACCCGTCCGTGAACCTGAACGGAGCGGTCTGCGAAGCGAAACACACCCATGTTCCGGCCTTCGATGGAAGACATACCCTTCGATTGGCATCCTCGAATTCAGTGGTTTTGGGGGATCACCCTCTTCAACATGCTCCAGTCTGTTTGTTGATTTCAGAACTTGGAACTCGTCAAACGTAGTATCTGATAGTTGAACTCGGAACTCGTCTCTGCGGCCCTGCTCCATCCCAGAGGATCTGTGGTTTTGGATGGACCTGTTCTTGGTGGCCCTGGGCATTTGGGCCTTGGTGCTCCTCCCGATCGCCGGAGGCCCGGACGGGGGGTCCGGTTGCCGAAACTCGGTCCGGTGGGTTCTGAGGTCGGAGACCGGGGAGACCTCCGCCTCAGAGTGGTCTCCCGGAGTTCTTCCCATACCTAGGCCCCCGGGCCATGGGGTGTCTAATTAAGGAGTTCGGAAAACAGGTGAAGGGGTCCATTAACCACCCCAAACAGGGGGCCCTGGTACATGCCCACATAGCTCTGGTTCCCAAGGCTCTGGTGAACCAGAGCTGCGAAAGCCAAGATGTCGATTGTAACACGTACATGAGTCAACGATGGGCGACTCGCGTGTGAGGAGCTTGGCGAGTGGTTTGGGAAGATTCGGACCGGACCTCCAACTGCCCAACTGCCATGCGACTGCATATGCGACTGCCAACTCCCTCCTGGCACTCTTGCTGACCCCTGGCACGAATGAAGAGGCTCACTCCGCTCCAAACATCTCTGTTCACAGCCCGACCGGTTCCGAACCAAACCGAGAAAGGGATTGGTGAGAAACCCCACCCCTCCCAAAGGATTCGTCCGACCCCTCTCATGAGGGTCAGCGTTTGGGTCATTAGCTTTTTGGTTGAAATCCAAGCTTTCGTGCAGGGCTTTCTGCAGATAGCTGGCCTTGAGGGACCGAGCGATTGACTGAACATGAACAGTGGAGGTAAACCTTGCAGGGTCAACCCGGCTGCCGAATTTCCACCGCCATCTGCACCGTGGACGATGTGCTCAGCGGACGTGCTCTGACCAGTCGGACGTGCGACGCAGGCACTGACCTTGGCTTCGAACGGCTCTTGGTCTTTCGCGGCCTGCGACTTCTGCGCTTGGTCAGGGCTTTGAGGACGAAAGTGTTCGCACATCGCGTCGCCGAAGCCAGGATCATGTTGGCTCAGGTTGTCTGGGTCTCAAATCAACATTCAGGGACCGATCGGGCGTGTTTCACGGAGCGTTTGAGAAGGAAGCTGATTATAGTCCAAGACTTATACTTAGAACGTCTTGTTATGAGCACGTTCTAAGTCTTAGGGAAAGAACATTCTGACACATGCGTCCGGCACCATGGCTTAGAACGTTGTCCTGAAAAAGGTTGAGAGTGGATGAATCAAAGAATCTGGAGAAGATTATATAAGTGTATATGTAGTATTACCAGTATGTACACACATATATATATATATACAGGTGTGTGTGTCTCATATCCATGTTCTAAGCCTTGCATCCAAGTCATGAGTCCACATGTTCCATTTCTTGAGTCCACATGTTCTAAGAGATGACTAGTACCAATGTTCTAAGTGTAGCTGCAAAGCGGTGTTGGAAAAATATTGATGTTCTAAGTATATGTCTTGACCATAATGGCCCTCACTTACCACGCTTGGTCGAGCATGTAGCATGCATGTACAGAAAGACAGCTGCTTCCAGGATGGTGAACCACTTCAAGATTATGTGGCGCTCCTCGTCTTCGACCTGCGCTAAAAGAAGGGATCCACCTGGAAACGCACAGTCCCAACTAGAATCAAAAGGTTATTCCAATATGGCCATTGAGATCCTATATAGTAAGACGTGATTGGGAATACAGTTTTCAAATGCATCCACTTGTTTCAGATTCTAAGACCCCTGGCATGCTGGGGCTGTTGACACACGTGACAGGATACCAAGCGCAAGCGCTGTCAAAGGCCACGAAAGTCCATGACGTTTTGTTTCCCCTCGGCGTTTGTGTATAGGAAGAACCTGGAGAAAACCAGTCACAACCAGAAGCATCAGAAACCAAGGGATGTTTCTCCAGTCTCAGCCACTTCATTGCCAATAGAACAATGACTGTTGTTTCTGGTAGGGACTGGGTTTTCCAGGAAAGGACACATCAGGATCTGAGACACGTGCCAAACGATGCGGTTCTGTGCCAAACGATGCGGCTTGGCCCCTTGTTCGGTGGGTGACCGACGTGGGTCGCTAACGACTCGTGGCGGACTGGTCGGGCTCACATGGGCGACTGCGCCAAGGTCTCGTCTACGGGCTTCTGACCTGTGGCCAAACCATTTTGTCCACCATGGCAACTTGGTTCCGCAGGGAAGAGGACGAGAAGACGAGAACAAAGGAAAACTCGTCAGCTAGTCACCGTTCATGTGCACTTGTATCACCTAGACCCTGAGTGATCTCTATGTTGGACCGCCAACCTCCAAAAGGTATGGTCTTTTCATATCTTTTCCCTATCAAAGCAGGGGTCACATGGGTTCCAGGCACGCATAAGAATACAGCCTTGAGGCCTTGAGCACCCTGTTTGGTACTAAAGCAGCATTGGATTTGAGGGAAATGCTCCAGAGTCAAAGAACAAACGGAGCCGGTGAACTTCGTGATTGACATATTCCCCCTTCACATGCTGTGTCACAATACCTATGTGCGAGTGGATATGGACAAGTCAAGATGCACCAACGGTAGTTGCGTGTTCATACCATTTCTGTTCATTTCTACTGGGAGTTGTTCTTCCTTGTAATTTCCGCTGTTTTGCTTGGGTGAGTTTTCAATTCTTTGGTAAGCTTCTAGCAAGCTTCTAGCTTTCTGAATCTTTTTGAGCAGGGTGCTGGTGATGCTGTTTGGGCCAATTGCATTTTTAGCATTTTGTATTGGTCAAAGAGGAAGAACGTGGTGTTGTACAGGCCTTTGGGATGGCTTAAGCAGGACTCAGGGATGGTTGAGGCATGGTTTTGTGGAGAGAGCAAAGATTGGGAGTTTGGATTTTGTATGATTGTGTACAAATGTTCTGTCGGGTGTGCACTTAGAAGTTGTTGGAAGGGCCACCCCTGACAACCTGACGATGCCTTACCCTACAAACCGGGTCCTGAAAACCTCACGTCCGTAGTGTTTTTGCATGATCATCACTTCACAAAAATGAGGTCAAACTGACCTGTAGGCTTAAGATATCACCCAGACGTTGGAAACCTCAGATGGAGTAATTGGTCCCGGGATGTCCCGGGTACCAGAAAGAGGGTGTGCTCTCAGCTGGCAGGTGAAGGAAGAAGCCTGAACCCTCGCGGTTTCTCACCCATCCGCAGGTCACCCATCCCCAACCTCGAACGCTCCGTCGCTCGTGTAGCATCCGACTCGTGCTGGGTCTTTCGGACGGTTGTGCCGAGGGTCTTTCGAACCCCAAAGCAGGTACGGCTCGGCGAGACCCACGTCACCTTCGCCTCCTGGGGTCCCCCTCCCCCAAAACTCCCGGGTTGCTTGGATGGGGAGATTGGGGTCCGTCATGGGGCCGGTCAACCGCTCAACGATCCGAACCCGACTTCAGCCGAAGGGGGCCGAAGGTCATTCGGAATTCGGGGCCGATTTCGGGGGTCGTGTTTGGGTACAGAGACAGATCACGTTGGAGTTGGCGATCCATGGAGTTGAAGACGGGGTGCCCCTATCACATCAGCCGGCCCCGGCAATGCGACGAGCCACACCACTCACCGAGCTCTGTGACTGCTGGGAGATTCCTCAAATTCAGAGATTTCTGTGACTTGAGGTCGTTCCAGTTTTGTGAGCATGCATCAGTGGGGGGGTTTTGATCATAATAGGGGGATACCCCCCGGTCGTGTACAACCAATATATATAATAGGTCAATGGAACGTGGCATGGACTCTGCTCTATTCTTCCCACAAGGACACCACTGGTCTTGTGGGTCCTAGCAAAAGTGTTCAACTGTACAGGAGTGCCTTGACATCTTGGGAATGAGCTGTGTTCTTCTAGACACGGTTCTGTAAGATGCAGGCCCGAAAGGCCTGGGCCTTGCGGAAAACCCACACAATCCTGCCTCCCTTCGCCCGTTGGCGAAGCTGCTTCTCAGCTCCTTGAGCTCCAGGCACTGATCATCATCTCGCTCTTTGTTTTTGCCTGTGCCGTGGTCTCAGTGGTGTCTTGAAATACTGCCAAGAAGATCCAAGAACATCCCAAAAACCAACATTTCATTTTGAAGTGACGCACCAGACGGACACCTACCGCGTATGGCCTCGTCCGTCCACTTCGGCCGGCTCTGGCCACTGCAGAGCTTCCTGCCAGGTGGCTGTGGAATTGATCAGCAAGGACACGGAGCTTTCGAAGGACGAAGGGTTGGCCGAAATGGCTCGGTGTACGGAAAGCGTCCTTGCTCCTAGCCCCGTTCGTAGCTTCTTGTTCGTACCGATGCCAGGAGCCCCGTTTCGTCAGTCACACAAGCGACGTCGACTCCTTCCCCTTTGAGGGATCCACTGCCTCCTCAGAATGTACGAGCCTCCAAGTGACGAACACATCACCCTCGAAAGAGCGGGCTTAGAATTCCTGGGATGAGTCTCATCAGTGCGCTGAGAGAGGGAAGGGTGAGAGGGAGTCGCCCAAGACCAGCAACGCAGCAAGACCAACAAGACCAGGATGTCTGTCTTGTTCGCAGGCGAATGAAGAGGTCGCTGAAATCGTGGAAGTCAACTTTGGTAGTCTAGAGACTTGGCAGAAGAGTCTGGTGAATTGTTTTCGGCGCGAGGTGAATCAGTCTCTTGAGCTAAGGGAAAAACCATTATGACACTCTTTCAGCTGCTTGGAGAAATTGGGTTTCGGATCCCACGCAAGCCTCAAGCTTCAACTGCAGTCAGCCTCTTCACAAGACGTCCGGAATCGTTTCATGACATGAGATTCTTCCATGTGACCGTGAAACAACTGGATCTCGAACAAAGGAAACAAACTGTTTGTTGTCCTGGTTCTTTTGGTCGGAAACACATGGAAACAAGGGAGTTTTCTTTTAAAACCAACCAACCTCACTTCGTGGGACAAAAGACGCAGCTTGACCCCATCGCCAGCGCTTTTCGCCGCATCCTGCCTGGCCCACCGGTTCCGTGCTCTTGGCCCTTGGCGTGCATCTTCCGACCCCCGATCGCCTCGCCGTGCGTGGGGAACCTTCCCTGGGGGCGGCGAGCTTGCGTATCGGAGGTTTGTGACGCTGGACTCGATCTCCGCGATCTACTTCCCGCTGATTACGGCCAAGGTGCCGGAGACACCGGTCGATCTCGCGGGGACACGGCGTTCGGTATCACGACTGGAGGGCGGATGAAATGTCAAGGAGGATTTGAGACCCAAGATAGGAGCAGTGCCGTTCGGTGGACATGGCTCACAAAATAACGCTGATAATCACGAATAACAATCATCGAGTCGATAATATAATATTATATATAGTTGTATATAGTTCTTGTCCTCTTACCCGTGGAGAGCAAGCTCTCTTTCCACCGTCTGAACATCTCCAAACCATTTCTTTCTCTTTTTCTTTACCAGGGGTCACATGTCGGGGTGCTTTTGAGTCCCATCCAGTGGGTGGGTCATGGGCACCCCTAACCTCCATGGATCGCACCCTGTCTTGAAACGTTTGAAACTCCTGGTACACCGTGACCTTCTTTGGGGGTTGACTTCATCGTCCATCCATGGCGACGTGACCATGCGCCGTGACCACGCGCTTTCTGGCAGCCCTTTCTGGTGCTCGTGTTCTTACCCATCTTGGTGGTGGTCTCCATTGGCCTTATGAATCTGGTGACTGCAGCAGCTTGGCACCCGTGGCTTTTTCCAACACCCATTCGAATAAACACAACTTGGCTCATTGGTCTATCCGAAAACTACATTTCGTGAGTGATGGTCTCATGTTTTGATATTTATTTGTATACAACAAACACACATACAGAAATTGGGAAAGCAATATTACTTTCTAACAGTTCTTTTGTTCAGTGTTGCAGTGCGCGACTGAGGCCTTAGTGGAGAATGCAATGGCGAATGCGACAGCGCAGGCAGAGGAGGAGACTTCGTCGCTGCAACTCGTGGGGGTTCCTTGAAATCCAGTCCCAACCAGAAACAGGTTCTGGTTGTTCCTGTCCATGGCTTGCTTGAGATCCTTTACACACAGAGGAAGAGGCTGGGACTGTGGCTGGGACTGGAGAATTCCATTCAGACATGGAGACCTGGAACGGAACGAACGGTTTCTCCAGGTCACGAGACGAGCTGTTTCGGGGCTGGGAACGGCCCCTTCTTGCGCATTCAGGAGAGGAACAGCTTGAAGAAGCAGCTGCAGATTGCCTTGCCCTCCCTGATTGATCTCTTTCACGAACTGGACTCCAGGGTGTTGAAACAGCCATCAAAACTTGGTTTGAGATATTGCATGAGAATGCAAGATATACTTCCTTGCCACATTGCCCCCCTTTTTCTTTCGCCAGGATGAAGATGGGAGCGGGATGCTGACCGAAGAGGACTTTTCTCCTGTTTTGTGATTTTGATGCGATCGCCGAAGGTCATGTAGACTCTTCAATGAATCAAACCGCCCTCATTTTGGATTGGAAATTGGAACACTTCTGAAGAGGCTTGGTGGCTTGGGGGGTGCAAGCCACTTAATAAGACAGTCTACAGAGTCTACAGAGTCTGCACCTCGTGTTCAACACCGGACCTCCTCCTCGGCAGCGAGCCTGGCCTCCTCCTCTCGGCCTCAGGAGCTCTCCAAGGTCTCCGCCGACATCCTGCCACCAAGGATCTTGGAATCGTCCTTTGCCGAGGACGCGCTTGACGCGGTTGACGCGGAACGGCATCTTCTCAGCGCGCAGCTCGCGCGCGTTTGGGCGGCACGTGGTCACCAAACACGGATGGACCCGTATGGGTGATCGAAGCAAGAGATCTGGCGCAACATGGAAAGCACCGTGTTCTTTTTCTGTTTCTCATGTGAACAATGTGGACGAGCCCCAGAAGGGTCGTTTCAGCCTCACCCTGTTGTAGGTCGCCGTGTCAGATCGAAATCGGTCGGTCGTTTCGGCTCATCCGGGTGAGCCGAGGGGCCAAGGGAGGGGGGCCGAGCCGTTGAGTCAGACAACTGGCCTGGCCACGCCTGGCGTATTCGTCAGCTTGAACTCAGCCGGCTGATGGCAGAATCCGATGAAGCGAAAGGTGGGGGGACCCAACTTCAGTGATTTTGGAACGCCACTGGTTGATGGTGATGGCTTGGGTGATGACTTGAACGTTGGACCAGTGGAGGCTTTGAACTGACCGCATGTGCGACTGAGGCTTGACATGTTATAATACCCCAGGAACCGGTTTTTCACTGAGGCTTGGCGTGTTTCATGAGGCTGTTAGTTCATACGTTCCATTTCCCGAGTGTATGCCTGGAGCTTGTCACTTCTAGCTGGAGACAGAGCAGTCCATCGCGGAGGGAGTGGGCTTGTGCCAAAGGAGAATACAGTATTAAGATTTGACGACATGGACGGAGCTTCAGTAGCCTTAGCAGCCTGCAGTGGGCGTAGTAGCCAGTCAGAAATGGCAAGAGTAGGCCGCAGTGGCCGTAGTCAATTGAAGGTCGGGACTGACCTGGCCTTAAATGCGCTGTAACAGCACTGTGCTTAAACCAAGCAGGTCTTCCCCAGGTTGTTCGGATATAGGTGGCCCTTAGCTTGCGTGTGCGCCCCGTACGATATAACTACAGGTGGCCCAGGTTTTGGCAGGTTTGGCTCATCGGTTGTCTCTGTGCACTTGTTTTTTTCCATCCAACGCAACCACATGACATGTTGTCTTGTCTCCTTTTTGGTCTCTTTTGTCCCTCAGTCGGAGCATCAGTCGGAGCCAGTCGGGGCTCTCGACCATCTTTCGCCTCCCTTCGGGTTAAAACGACCCGGACGGCAGTGAAGATGGATTTGAGAGACCGACCTTCCCCATAACTCTGCGTCGTTGTGGTCGCATTCTTTTCTTATTTTTTTCACGATCGATGTCTGCTGTAGAATGCTGTGCAGGAGACACCTGCGACTGAATGAATGGTGCTGAAATGTCTTTCTTCTTTTTCTGCTTGTACCTCGACCTTCATTCAGAGACGAAGCCTGGAATACGACGATGTTGTGTTCGTTTTTAGGCTTGATCGTGGTGCACAATGGTGTCGGGAACATGTGACGTTGTAATTTGTATTTTGTTCATGTTCCTAGGTCCTAGGTCTTTTCATCGCATTTGGAAGAGGAACTAAGATGAGAGCACTCTTAGGGCTTACAGGGGGCTCTGTTGAAATGATGTTGTTTGACTGGTGTTCATTGATGGGGGCTCTGTGATTGACTGGTGTTGATGAGTAAGACATGTGTTTTCTGAAGAGCGAAGACTGCGAGCGATGATCTTTTTTTGATCCAACTCAATACTTTGAATGGTTCTTTGTATCACCTCTTTTTAGTTTTCCTTTATTTCTTTTCTTGTCTTTAACTCGTTGCCTCGATCCCTCAGAGGTTCCTTAGTTCACTGTCTATGTAATTTCCCTTTGCTTCTCACGGATCCGTCAGAGTATTTTATTGATCCACTTTATGGTAACAGGGACGGAAAGCGGCAGCAATGAATTTGATAGGAGACTCACAGCAAGAGTTTTATTCCCTGCTTGCAAGCATTCAGTTCCGTTTCATGTCACAGCACGTTGGCCGGTGTTTTGAAGATTCAGGGTTTCAGATTTGCGTGAGATGGGGCGATTTCAGCCTCTGCAGTGAGGAGGCGCAGCACGAGTTCTTCTTTTTGACCTCCCGGTTCAAGTAAATAGTTTGCCTCGCGACTGAAGGGCAGAAATTGCTCGAAGCAAATACCTCCGCCTGAATAGAACATCCTGCTCGCTCTGAATTGTCCTTCTGTATTTCTCGGCGCAGTCAGGGAATGGTTTCCTTGAGTGCAAATACTTCGGCGGGATATTTTCATTTGACTCTTTCTTTCCCTGAGCTCCTCAAGGATGTCAGAGTCCAGGCCTAACTGCACCGTACTGACTGAGAGGGCCGTGCAGCAGGGATAAATACTTCAGTGTATTCAATGTATCAAAGCAAAATTAGAATCCGATGTGAGTACAACGAACTGTGATTTTGCACGTGCTCGCAGTCAGACACAGACGCGACTGCATCACGCTGCGTGCAGTCAGGGCTCGGTTCACTCCGCCAGCGGAGTTTGCGGATGAGGTGAATTCCTGAACCCCCGCGGAGTCAGCTCCAGCCACGAAGTCAGGGTTTATAAAAGAAGAGTCGGACCTAGGGGACCTCTGGCATTCACAAGAAGGCATAGTATTGTCTTCGGACCTATATTATATTTATTGTACAATGTACACACATAGTTGTTAGTTATATACATATATTCCTAAGGAGCAGCCTGCGCCTGCAGGACACACTTGGATTGTTGCCGGAAGATCATTGTTGACCGGCTTTTTAGTGCAGCAGGGATAATAAATTAGGTGTATTAGGACAAAGATGTTGTCTGATTTGAGTACAATGAACCGAGCTTCGCTGCGACTTCGTTGCAGGACATGGGGGACCTTTTCCATTATTTGGATGTGGATGGCACTGGGACCCTCAGCCAAACGGAATTTATCGAAGGAATCTTGGCGCAACTGGTGTGGGGAAGATGGGACTTGAGACCTTGAGCGGCTCAGGATGTTTCTTTGGGGCTCTGTGTTTCAACATTTGGGAGTGGCTGAACAATCGGATGTCGGATATCCTTCTTTTTCCCTGCGCTCAAAGTGACAGATGCCTGCGGTCAAAAAACGTTTTTATCTCTGGAACTTGTTCACAGTTGCAGAGTCTCTCCTTCTTGCACTTGCTCTTCAGTTACTCAGTTTCAGTCACCTTTGTCCCACTTTGCAACACAGCCTCCCTGAAACAATCATGGAAGTGGAAAACAGTCTGTTCGTAGAGGAAAACCGTCTTCCAGACTCGGGGCCATGCAATCCACTTCCATCTTGGTCGGAGGGTGAGGTGACACATGTTCTTCCAGGACGATTGAAGTTTCCTCAGAACCCCCC